GACCCAAGCATAAGGGACGAGCTCCGACGAAGTTATATCAAATTGGCACACCAATGAAAAGATTAGCCATTGACATTGCTGGTCCTTCGCCTCAAACTCGTGCTGGAAACAAGTACATTTGTGTGGTGATGGATCATTTCACCAAGTGGCCTGAGGCATATACAATACCAAATCAGGAAGCTACAACAGTAGCTTCGGCTATTAGTGATTTCTTCTTCAGATTTAGTATGCCATACGAACTGCATTCAGATCAAGGCCGTAACTTCGAATCAGCTGTGTTTCAAGAATTCTGCAAGTTGTTTGGCATACGAAAGACCAGGACAACGCCACTTCACCCACAGTCTGATGGGATGATAGAAAAGTACAATTGAACACTTGGACAGGAATTGGTAAAGTTTTGTAATAGCCGCCAAGATGACTGGGATGTCTTACTCCCTCCACTGTTGATGGCCTATAGAACAGCAGAGCATGAAGGCACTGGATACACTCCAGCAAAGCTGGTGTTTAGTTGGGAACTTCGGTTGCCAATGGATCTGAAAACAGGACGCCCACCTTACGAAGAATTCCCTGAAAATGTGTCAGAGTTTGTGAAAATGTTATCTGAAAGGATGGATGATATTCATCATCAAGTGCATTCAAACTTGTGACCTTCCAGGTGTGTTTTTCCCCTCGTGGTACCTCAAATAAATATGTGTATGGGACTATGCCATATAAATTAAGGACAACCTCTGGGTTACCCCGAGTTTGTTTTAATAGCTCAAAAGATGTGGGAGGAGTTCACTGACAAACGTTTTCACGAACACACAATGTTATTAATATAGGATATTGATTACTAACAAATCAAAAGTAGAAATAAAGAAATCACATTGTGCAGACTTATATAAGAAAGGATATTGATTTATTGGAAAGGGTTCAGAGAAGGACTACTAGAATGAAGCCAGAAATATAAAGACTATCTTATTAGGGTAGGTTAATATATCTTAAGTTATTTCCTCTTGAGAAAAGTAGGACAATAGATAATATTACCGAAGATTTGAATCATCCTGGTGATGAATAGGTAAAAAAGGTTTCTGATTTTTTTGGCCTATATGGAGAAGATAAAAGGAAGAGGACACAAAGTTACGATTTAGAAAAGATAGGCTAGGCCTTAGTTAAGATAGTTTTTTATTTTCTAACAGGCTGATTAGCTTAAACAATGAGTTGTTGTCCACAGTAATAGAATCTCATACTATACAAAAAGATTGGATATATTTGAGCCACTTGCCATTAATTTTTTCCAAATACTTGAATACTGGGCAGATGCCAGCAGTTTGGAAATTGACTAATGTTACTCTTCTTTTCAAGGGAGAGGATATAAATTATCCAGATAATTATAGGCTTATTAGTCTTACATCAGTAGTGGGAAAAGTGTTTGCAAGTCTAGTATAAAATGCTTTGCAAAGTCATTTAACAAAGCTTAAAATCTTATTGGATAGTCAGCATGGTTTCACTAGGGAAAATCTTACCTTAATAATCTTTTGACATTCTATAATTAAAGTCACGAGTGGAGTACCATGAAATTCAACGTTAGGTCCTTTCTTTGATTTGCATCAATGACATGGATGAAGGAATGGTCAATAGATTATTTCAGGTTGCTTATGACATTAAAGTTTTGGGTGTTGCTGGCTGTGAGGAGGATGCAACTGCTTTACAGAAGGATTTGATATATTTAGTGAGTTGGGTGAATAAAGAGCTAAAGGCTTTTTAATTATACTAAATTCAAGGTAATACGCGTAGGATATCACAATTTGAATTGTGAGTATAAACTTGATATGAATAACCAATGTTATGAAAAACTCGGTGTTCTGGTGGTCTGATAAGCCATCCGAGTAATGTGTTGTTGTTAGTGGCAGGGTTTTAGGTTGTGTCTACAGAAATATTTAATACAAATCTAAAGAGGTAAAAATGACATTTTATAGGTCATTGGTTAGGACACATTTGGTGTACTATATTCCTTCTTAAGCTCCTTACCTTGGAAAGGACATTGAATTGTTGGAAAGGGCTCAGAGGAGGGCGAATAAAATGATACATGGGATGGAAAGGTTGTCATATGAGGATAGATTAAAATTTCTGAGTTTGTTTTTTCCTGAAACAAGAAGAGTTATATGGGATCTAATTGAGGTGTTTAAGATTGTTAAAGGAATTTATAGTGCATCATCTTTTTCGTATTTAATGGTGAGAATGAGAATGGTAAGCCAAAGAGACATAAATATAAATTCTGGCAAGATAACAGTCATCTTCAACTAAGCCGGCTTTATATTTCTAACAGGGCGGTAGGCCTTTGGAATGATTTACTTTCGGATGTGGTAGATGCCAGAGTTAAGGGAAAGCTTGATAAATATTTGAATGATAAGGGCTGGCTTTGAATTTTTTAATGCTTAGTTTAATTTAGTGGATAGGATGGCCTAGATCAATACTTCTCAACTGGTGAATGGTTCATCCAGGGGTTAATGAAATCAGAATCAGGGTGAAAAAGAATGATGGGGTGAATAATTATATAAATTCAAGAGAAAAAAAAAAGTCATTAGTTATTATTATTTATTCCAGTTGTAGTTTGATAAATACATTTACTTATTGTTTATTTTATATTGTATTCATTCTAGTTGTAGTTTGTTGTATAGTTAAGTCATACTAAACAATTTTGAATTTTAATTTAGTACTTTTTGTCTTTGAGTGAGTGTGCTGTTGTGAAAAACGTAATGGGTGAATGATATTGGAAAATATTGAGAAGTACTGCCCTAAGTGGACTAATGGTCTTTTGTTGTACTTTAACGTTATGTTTAGAGTTTAAGAAGACAATCGACGATTTCTTGTAAAAGAAAAGGTGAATTGAAATGCTTAATGTTTTTTAGAGGTGGGTGTACAAAAACAGCTTTAAAGGATAAAATGGTATATATATATATATATGTTGTATTATTTCATTTATTTTGTAGATTTAGACTCCGACAGAAGAGGGCAACATTCATTGGCGCTTTTTCCGATCGAATCGTTAAATTATAAATTTTTATTGATGGCATGTTCAGATTAAGTACAAATTAAGTCTCGTGAGGCATAATCGACATAAGGTAACTTAAGTTAGGTTTTATGTTCGTGGTTTAACCATTCAAAAATATGATTGTTGGACAGATTTGAAATATTAGGAAAAATACTGCTTTTATTTCGAGATAGACTAGTTATATTTCTAAAAGTAAAATTATAAAGAGCAAAACAGGCAAGATTAAAATTTATAAAATAAAGCATAATCAAAATGATTCTAACTGCAGGGTGATACGTTTGAGTTATAATGGAATGAAGAAAAGGATATTTGCGTAGTATTACTACTACTAGCAAATAAATTTCTTAAGATATCGAATGATCGAGGCAGCACTCTGTGATATTATTAGTAGTAAAGCTAATTTTTGGTTGTTTATTATAGATATATTGATTACTTTCAACTTCAAGTCAGAAAGATATAAGGGTAGATCTACACAAATCTTTATTTAGACCATGGCATTTGTAGAGATACTAGTGATAGTAACACTAGTACTACTATTAATGTTATTACTAGAGTAGAGAGATTTAGACATTTTGGCAATAATGTTAAAAAAACGACCTTTACTCTCCAGGTAATAATATAATAAACTTTTTATTAAATCTAACTATCCCAATTCTTTAAATTAGTTTCTTATTGTTAAGCCTAAATGAACATTTCTAATACAGTAACAATATACAACTTAAAGTATAAATCTAAACGTTGTCATTGATGGTTGATTAGAAATTATTTGTAACGTTCAATTATAAACTAAAATAAATGACCAGTGTAAATTTTAATTGTACATACTAGCATTTTCAGGAGAAATTTCATGAAAATAATTAATATTAAAATGTAGTTGATAATTTATTGCACATGTACTAGTAGTAGTACTAATATTTGCTGTTACTTTTTGATTTAAAAATGTGTTGTTTTTTCAGTATAGTATGTCATTTTAAACATATTTCTTTATTTTTATCAAACACTTTTTAAAGTACCATTAACTCAAAAATCAAACTGCAAAAAACCTGAGACTTTTGTATGTTGTGTCACTCCAAGAAAGTTATATTTGATTTTGTACACAACACCAACACTTAACCATTTGTGGTGAAAAGTGCCCATAGCTGATTATAGAGCAACCATATCCAACACCTTCCATGTTTCCAGATACCATTTGATGATTTCCTCTCCTACTGTCTCCCTTTTATTGTTTTCTATTTGGATTTGTCAGGAGGTTCCTCCAGATTGGAATATCAATATTGTTCTTCACTGCCTAGCTCTCTCCTTTTGAATCTTTATCTGTATGTTCACTGTATCACCTGTCCTTTAAGATTTCTTTCCTACTCCTTTGAGTCTGATATCTTTGCCATTGGTGTTTCACGTACTTTGTTCCAATCCACATATGTTCTCCTTTATCTGGATTGACCTTTCCTACTCAAAACTTTGATGGCTCGTAAGGAACATTTTTCCTTCTTGCCAACTTCCCTTCCCTCCATTTCCTACCTTTGTTCCCTGACTGATCTGAATAGGCTTCTATGGCACATTTGTACTCTTTGATGTTACATTTCTCACATGGCCTCTTTCCGTGGTTCCCTCTCCCACCCTTTCATTCCCTGGCAACTTTCCTCTGTATATGACTTTTCTCCTTCTGACCTTACAGGTTTGGTTCATCAGCTTATTAGACTGGCATATTCCTATCTGTAGGATAATGTTGATTGGGGCAATGGTTATCCTTCTGATGCTTCACCTCCAGGAGTTTACTGTCTGAGGATGATGTTGCACAGTTTGGAGCCAGTCCAATGAGGTTTGGATTTGTTGTGAACCTCCACATTGGCACATTCCTTCCTAATGTCATTCAGAAGTCAGGTTCTCAATTGACTGGCTGAGGTTGTGGATTTGTACATGTGTGCCTTGTTGGGTGGATTGATTTAGGAAGTATATCCTTGTGTTCTTCTCAACTTGAGGTGAAGTCTGTGTGGACCTTCCTACCACAGGTCTGAAGACGTATGCCCAATGCTGCTTGGTTTTGGATTGGAATTGACTGGCCAGGTATGGTCCAACGTGTCCTAGCCATTCTACACTGTGGGGGCACATCTTTTTCTTATTTTTTTTTTTGGACACCTACTTCCACAGTGGGTGATGAGTATACCTGGTGCAGAAGTGATATGGTTTCCCATGTGTGTTCCCCTTCCAATGAGTGTCATACTTCAAGTGTATTCTAGCTATACATGTGAGAGGAAGTATTGGAAGTAATTAGTTATTTTATTCTTATACTCTCACACTTCCTTCTCACTAAAAACTGGTGCTTCCTTTCTGCCTAATCTTGAATTGATAATTTGGTGGAATCAAATAGGGGGAGTCACGTGTGTCTGGAGAGTGTGTCGTACTCCTATTGGTGGAGGGTAGTTGCATGATGATTTGCATGTGAAGATGCAGTGAATCACATTAATCATGGGGTAAGTGGGAGTTCAAGGCTTGTGGTAAGTGAAAAAGTTTTGCATATAGAGGGCAGCATTGAACAAGAATAGCTATATGTGTGAGAAGGGGTAATTACCTATTGGAAATATTCTTTCAGTGTAGGAAAATAACTTTTGAATTCAGATTGTTGTTATTTATCATGGCATTATCTACACAATCAGCTGTTATTTTTATACACAAACAAGCTCAGAGATAATTTTGTGTGACTGTTGGCTGCTATGGCATCAGTACTTTAATTTTAATTGGCCAATACTAGCGATGTTGCATGTTCAATAATACAACATTTTTTATTGTAACCTAAATTGCATTTGATTGCTAGTTTAGCCAATGAAACTTTTGTTGAGAGAAAAACAGTACAATTCAATAAATACAAATTAACATTTATAGTTCAATTTTGTGAAGAAAGAATTGATACAGCATCAGCTCACAAACAGCCTAGGTTTACAGCCCTCATTCATTTTTCAGATGTGAAAGACTAAAAAAACCTCAGTCAGTTTTTTTCTAACAGATGTTTTTTCAAGAGAAAGCCATTTCAGAGATCTTTTTAACCTTTGTTTTGTATGACCTTTCCATCACAGGTATCATTCTAGTATCCCTCCTCTCAACCCTTTCCAATAATTCAATGACTTTCCTATGGTAAGGAGCCTAAGACTAAACACAAAACTCCAAATGTGGCCTAAACAGTGGTCTATACAAAGAAATTATAACCTCTGTGTGTCCCTAACAGAAACAATTTTATAGAAACTTTTGCCCCACCCTGTATAACAATCAAGAAAAAATGCCTTAACTCTCAATTTTATTTTGGAGGTTATGTTGAAAGGAATGAAGTATGTTCTTCAAATGAAACAAGAAGACTTGGTATAACTAAAACAAACATTTATTTCTGGAAATAGTATTTTTTCAAGTTTTGTAAATGCTAAAGTTTCCTTCCAAGTCAGGACTGCTCTCCTTATATCCCTTTTTGTGGGATGACTCCCAGACCCCTCTTCTACCTTTTTTAATTTCCCTGTTAACCATATTAAATTTTGGGCACCCTTGAACTATAGTTTTGTAAATATACATACCTTAAATTCATTACTTTAAACTTATCAGTATTCAAACTCATTTTTGAAGTTCTTGCCCATAGTTAACTTGATTTAAATAAATATTTTACACAGTATGACCTTTATCCAGCTACTTGGTATCATCAACAGGTTTTAGTAACTTTGATATAAATAATAGGTGAAAAAAGAGTATTTAATGGACCTACACTAGAGCAACCCCATCTTTAAGCTGATGCTTACAAATTACTACCTGTATAAAGCCAGTATTTACACTGACTTTACTAATACTACAATACCTATATGTAATTTTCCAATTAACTTTTTTTAAGGACCTTCTCAAAGGCTTTGTGAAATAGAAAAATATACATCATAAGCCTGTGTCATCGTATGAAAAATGCATAAACTCCTTCAGTAACTAAAAAAATAAGAGGAACTTAATGTCAGTAAAGAAATTAAGGAAAATTACCTACTACAATTAAAAAGTGTGATCACAATTATATGATAAAACAAGTCTTGACCAGTGTTTTAAATATTTAAGACAATGCTATTCAAACAGTAATTCTCAGTAAAGAGAAAGCACCTGCTCAATAATTTCCAATATGATATCCTACCTTTCTCACAGAATAGCTTTTCCAAATTGTACTGCCCTCTATATGTGTGTGTGTGTATATGCAAATGAGCATGCGACAACCCTCCATCAATAGGAGTGTGACACAACTCCTAGCAAAGCTGACTCCCTCTATGCAGCTTAACCCAAAATTACTTCTTGATTGGCACTTATGGTGTTAAGTTATGATTTTACTTGAACTTGCGGTGGAGACTCATCTCCTGTTTTTTTCCATGCTTGCATGATTGTCCTCTTCCACTCTTTCCCTCCTCTATTGTTGGGACCTCTTGGGTTTGGATGCCATTTTGTCCTGTGTATGTTTACCCCCAAACTCTTTATGGGACTTGTGTATGGCACCCTTTTTTAACTCTGTGATGAACATTGCCACTTTTAACTTCCTTTCTGCATATGTCACAGAGTGTTACTGAGTTACATTCAAAATTTAATTCAACCACTTTACTATCAGTATATTTTAATGAAATTATTATTATCAAGTTCATTATAATTCAAGTCTTATTATTGAAGTTTTGATTCTTTTATTTCAAAAGAAACCACTAAAACAATTATCTTGAGGTTTGCTCTCATTTGAAGTGCAAGTGGCTATAGCAACTGAACACTAGACTTTATATACAAGAAATGACTATGGGTAAAAATGTTTTTGTTGATGGCAGTAAATTACATGTACATACGGTTCATTTATCAGTAACTTGATACACATTCCTAAAATTGGCCTTGAAAGGGAACTTGTAGAAATTCCTGAGTTCAAGCTATGCCATGTCCACTTACAAAGCTAAGCAACAGTTTAAGTTGAAGGGCATGCTTATAACCAATAGACAGGGTAAATTTGGCTCTTGAAGATTGTTACTGTAACAGGAAACATGCGTTTATACATCCATTTTAAAGTAGGGTGAAATGAGTAAGTTGGTT